AAGGAAAGACCGCAGATTGCCATATGTTGCTTAGAATGATTAGGTAAATTAAAATGTCTAGCGACTGGTTTCGATGTGTCCTTGTCATTCCTTTCCACGTCTCGAAGGTGTTCTCGGAATCGGTCACCTAGTCTTCTGCCTGTTTCGCCGATGTATATCTTTTTGCAATAAGTGCAAGTTATGCAATAGATTACATTGGCGGAGGTGCACGTGAAGTGATCGGTGATCTTAATGGATCGTTTAGGTCCCGATATTTTATCAGTGTTGTGAATGAAAGGACACGTTTTGCATCGTGCACGAGCGCATTTAAAAGTGCCTGGTTGGTCATTAGTCTGAAAAGAACTTCTGACCAAAAAATTGCCTATGTTTTTGTCGCGTTTGAATGAAATGAGCGGAGGCTGCGAAAAGATAGTGCTTGTCTCTGGATCGTTTTGAAGTAATTTAAAGTTTTTAAGAATGATGGATTTAACTGAGTGGTTGTGAGGGTGAAACGTGAGAGTGAATGGAATGCGGTCGGAATCTTCCTTATGCGACGTTTGTAGTGCTGAATGTCGATCAATAAGTTGGGCGCGGTGGTAACCCGCTTGAACGACAGAAACAGGGTAACCACGTTTATCGAAAAACTGGCACATTGACTCTGATTTGTGGTGGAAATCAGAGTCATCACTACATAAACGACGAAGTCTTAGAAACTGAGAAAAAGGAATGGAATTCTTAACGTGAGATGGATGCGAAGACGAATATAACAAGTAATTATGCGAGTCTGTAGGTTTGTAATACACACTAGTGCATAAACCGTTACCTTCAATTGAAACTTTGATGTCTAAAAAGGATAAAGAATTGTCAGAAATTTCCCAGGTATATTTCAGAGCCGGGTGAAAAGAATTGACTGCGGTTATGAATTGAGTGAGCTCCTCTCTGGTAGAGGAGGTAGCGCCGATACAGTCGTCGATGTAGCGACCGTAGAGTTCCGGTTTGGAGCCGTTGTATTGGCTGAAAAATTGGTGTTCGACAAAACCTACAAAAAGATTGGCATAGCTAGGTCCCATTTTGGTACCCATGGCTGTACCATTGGTTTGTTAGAAAAAAGTTGTCCCCGAATGAAAAGCAATTGAGCGTGAGCACTAATTCGGCTAAGCGTAGTAGTGTTTCAGATTTAGGTTCCTTAACAGTACGTTGATCAAAAAAATGTTTAAGGGCCAGAAGACCTTCGCCATTAGGAATGACAGTGTAAAGAGACGTAATATCAAAATAAATTCCAGGAGCTATCTGAAATCATCCAAAGACTAAACATACACGCTATGTTTGTGAGTGAAACCAAGATTGACTCATCGTTCCCAAACAACCGGTACCAATTTACCATCCCAGGCTATTCTTTATTTCGCAACGATCGAAAGAAAGGAGGAGGAGTAATGGCTTTAATATCAAACTCACTGACCAGCAAAAGAATTGTTATTAAGAAGAATTACAAGACATTAGAACCAATTGTCTTCGAAGTTACTATCGGATCAATGAGCATTCTAATACTTTGTATCTACCGTCCGCCGAAAAAGTTACGCGGCGAATATCAACTTTCTTTGGAAAATGAACTAAGCCACATCTGTAATTGGGTTAGCTTACAGAATAACTCCGTTATTGTCCTCGGTGATTTAAATCTCGACAGGCTGAGACCAGAAACGCCAGAAGGAAAGCTCTTATGCGATCTTCAAATCGAACAAAGTCTAGAGTGTATGATAACAAAACCGACAAGAATTGAAATGCGAGCTACAAAAACAACTAGAACTCTTATTGACGTATTACTAAGCAATCGACCAGAACTCTTTCAATGCTGTGGTAACTAGGATCCATCTCTCAGCGACCATGCCCTGATTTACGGAATTCTCAAAGAAAAAGTTAACCTAAATAAACCTAAGATTATTAAATTCAGGACCTATAAGAACTTTCAATATGAAGAATTTCAAAAGCATCTTGCTGTTGCACCTTGGCACGTTGGGGAAATTTTTGACGAGATAGATGATCAGGTGTATTTCTGGAACGCACTCGTGACTGACATTCTAGATGAGATAGCACCTGTTAAAAAACAATAAGGACTCGAGACAAAGACGTGCCATACATGACATCACAATGGAAAAACGCCACAGAGTCAAGCGGAAAGCAACAATAAAATACCTTAAACACAATACAGAAGAGAATTGGGAACTTAAACGTAAAGCGAGAAACGAAGCAACAAAGCACAGAAGAATCGCAATTAAGGACTACTGGAGAAGGAAATCCGAAGATCTACAAATGAGGCCCAAAGAGTTTTTTAACACTTTTAGGCCTTTCTTGAACAAAAAGGACCATACACACAATATTGAAATCCATCTAAACGAAAATGAGTCAATCGTCAGAAATCAGTGCGAAGTTTTCGAAATACTAGCTGACTATTTTGCCACAATTGCCGAAGGAATCGGGGGCAAAAGCGCCGAACTTCAATCTATGGAGGACTTTGAACACCATCCAAGTGTTCAGAAAATAGTGGCGCAATCTATAAACCAAACGCAAGGCATTAAAGTAAAACTTATCACACAAATGCAAGTTGAAGATTCTCTAGAGTCACTTAATATCAACAAAGCCACCGGCTGTGATGGCATTGCGGGAAAAGCACTTAAGATTGGAGCAAAGGAACTCGCGAGGCCACTTCAGACCCTTTTCAACACCTTTATAAAAAGTAAGGTTTGGCCAAGCGAATGGAAGTGTGGGGAATGGACGCCTATATTTAAAAAGAGCGACAGATCCAGTAAGGAAAACTACAGACCTATCACAGTCTTACCATGTGTTGGTAAGGTCTTTGAGCAGCTCATTGGCAAGAAAATTACGACCGACTTCGAAAAAACACATGTGTGTAAACTCGTCAGCCTACCGCAAAAAATACAGCTGCGAAACCACGCTGATCAACCTGGTGGAGGGGTGGGGAGAGGCCAGAGATAAACATCTTTTCGTAAGCGAAATGTCGACTGAGATGTCAAAAGCTTTTGACTCCTTACATCCACCGCTGCTATTGAGCAAACTCAAAGCTTAACGCTTCCAGGGTAATATCATTGAACCTCTAAAAAGCTATTCATCGAATAGGAGAAATCGTGTAAAGTTAGGAAGCAATATCAGCTCCAACAGATTAGTCAGTCGAGGCTGTCCTAAGGGATCCGCACTGGGTCCTCTGTTGTAGAATATATTCCAAAACGATCTATCGTATCATGTTAGAGATATATCAATGTACGCGGACGACCATCAGTTTTACCATACAGGTCATGACCTGCCCACTACTACATCCAAACTTAGAGACAGTACGGAAAAAGCAACCACCTGGTACGAATCTAATCTATTAGTTGGTAACCTTGAAAAATACCAAACCTTAATTATTGGTAGCAACAATAACTCTGAAAATAACATCGAAGAATGCGCTATCTTAGTATACAAAGAGAAAATCAACACGACCGCCACTCTCCAACTTCTCGGAGTCACAATTGACTCAAATTTGAATTTCAATAATCACATAAATACTATCTGTAACAAAGCCAGTCAAAGGATTGGTGTGCTTATGAGACTTCGCAACTTGATTCCAACAAATGCAAAATTACAACTTTTTAACGCAGCCATTCTACCATATCTAACCTACTGCCATCTCACATGGCATTTTTGTAAATCTAGTGATAGTCGCAAATTGAGAGAGTTCAAGAAAGAGGCCTTAGGGCTGTATTCAAAGATAAACACTCCACCTATGAACGTTTGCTGCAGAAAGCTAATTTATCTTCGCTACTAAACAGACGCTTACAGGATACATGCATTTTAATGTACAAAGTTAAATACAACCTTAGCCCTTTGAATATTTGTAATATATTTCGGAAACACAACGCTTCCTATAGTTTAAGACAGGCCGACTTTTCTATTCCTGGATACAACACAATAACTTACGGCAAACATTCACTACGCTATTTAGGACCTAAATTATGGAGTAGACTGACAACTCACGACAGATCAGCCTCAACATTAGCTAGTTTCAAAAACCGCATACGTAAGCGTGACCTCAGCTCCCTATTAGATGATGGCTGCAGGGGTTGTGCTCTATGTACTTCTTAATTCATTTCATATCTTTTTTCATACATGATATGACTCAATTTTATTCTTAAGTAGGTGATATTCTTTGTAAATCATTTTTATCCATTTTATTTGTGTCCCCACATTAGTATGGGATATCTCCCAAACTAGAAGGTTCTTTGACACGTTAATAAAGTTTCTACCTATCTATCTATCTATCTATCTATCCATCCATCCATCCATCCATCCATCTATCTATCTATCTATCTATCTATCTATCTATCTATCTATCTATCTATTACTATGTTGCCGGACTCCAAAGCTGTTTTCTAAATTATTTGAAAAAATATTATCGATTAACGTAGCTGAATTTCCATAAACCCTCGTGGGCTTATCGACAGCTGGTAATAGCAAAAAGCTTTGGGTTAATTCTAAGTTTAGAACCGATCAGTTCCACAATTAAAAGTTAGAGACAGAAAGACGTACAGATTGCCAACTGTAAAGCTACAAAGTATTTTCATAGGCACCTTTGATTAAATTTCATATTCGCATACTTACCAAATGTGTGTACATTGACTGTAGATTTACTTCCTATGCCGTATTTACAATGGCTGGGACTAGTGCTTCCTTTCAGATGATATTCGTTGTTAACAGGTGCACTCGACAAACAACTTCCTTTGTCACCCAAAACAAAGTACTTGTAGCCCTTCTGGAATGCCAACTCGCCACATTCTTTGACATAAGCTCTTGATTTAGCTTTTGCTGGATCAAAGTCCTTGAAATGACTCGCAAGAACTTCCTTTAAACCAGATTTTGGTTTAAAAAAACAACCGATTTCAATGAAGGATGGCACTAGAATCAACAAGGAAAATGCAAATGTTACCTTTAACACGCGGCTATGTTCATCTAATTGAGTCAATTGACGCAAAGAACAACGGTAATAAGCTAAAAGTTTCACCATTCATGATCTACCACAAAAGAAGAGAATTTAATCTCCACACATGATACTTTCAAATGATTTCAAATTTACCACTATTATTTCCGTGGCAATTTCTGACTGAAATAAGCAAACTGAGCTTTCTTTTACTGTCATTGAGAAGACATCTTCAAGTTTTTCGGAATAAAAGATTTAACTAGAAATATAAGTGAATGGCTTTCGTCGACAAAACTTGGAACTGAGCTACGAAGTACAGTTTCTGCTATACAAGACCATCTTAAAGATTTGTTTGACAATGATAAGAAGGAAAACCTGCTGTAACTGGACTATCCTGGTCCAGTGGATCTTACCTTGACAATTTACCCCACTAAAGTCGCCCGCACAATCACAATGGTATTTAGTTATGTCTTTATCGTCGTTACGGCAAGTGGCTCCATTCATACAAGGGTTGCTATCACATGGAAGGGATTGCACTAAAAAAGAAAGGAAAAAAAAGTGATGCATTGCATATATTCTTCTCTTCAGGCTGTTTATATCACAAAAATGTAAAAAGCTTCAAATTGTTCGATAGACCAACCTTCACAGTTCTTTCCACTGAACATTTGCTGACATTCGCATGAGTACTGTTTAGGATCATCCTCGTTCACCACACAAAACCCATTGTTCTGACAAGGATCACCGTCACAACCAGTTGGATAAGAATACGAGGCTTCAATACGATACACAAAGTTTGCCATCTCTTTACCAACTCCACCTACACAATTGTCGGACTTTCCGTACTTGTTGAATGTGTTAGCGATGTCTTTACTGGTCCAGCATTGTACTTCGTTCTGAACAGCGAAATATTCGTAGCCCATGTCTCGAGCCAGAGTAGAACAGTACGCAACAGTGGCCTTTGGATCAGAGTTACTTGAGAAGCTGGCATAGTTGTCAGTCAGCAACTTCTCGGTCTTCTCTTTTTCCACAAAACAGCCTTGTGGGACAAACTTAGGAGCTTGAACTGGATAAAGGAAAAATAGTTTTGAAGATTGGAATCAGGTTGATGTCATGGAGAAGGACATCTTTAAAGTAAGGGAAGCCTTTTTGGCAATGTAACCCTAGTTTTGCAAATACACGAAACATTTTGTACAAATATTTCGGTCTCCAGGAAATTCAGAGTTTTTTTTTTAATTAAATAGATTTTTTTAAACTTTATTTCAGTAAAAACATATCGAAAAGACTTGACTTTGTCTTTGAAAATTCCTTCATATTTTGTTTTTACTCTAATTGATTGATTGTTGAGGAGGTAGAAAAGGGAATAGGAGACCACACAGTCAATATAGTTTCTTGGTCAATGCTTATAGTCTGTGTTGGCGTCGCACTCACCGAAGGTATACACGTCGACTGCCGTTTTACTCCCTATGCCACCCTTACAGTTATTAGTACTGGTTACTCCTATTTCAAAGTATTCCTTGTCAGCTGTTTTACTCGAAAGGCAGCGTCCTTGATTTCCTAAGGCAAAATGGCTGTAACCTTTGTCAAATGCCAGCTCGGCGCATTCATATATATAGGTTTTGCTCTTCTTTGAATCAAATTCCTTCGGAGATGTAAGTACGTTCTTAAGACCAGATTTTGGTGCCTTGAAACAGCCAATTTCAGCAAAAGAAGGAACTTGAATTAAAAAGAAAAACAAAACAAAACAAACAATGTATTAATATCGGAATATGTATGTGCAAATTGGTATTGGATCAAAAGGAATAAGAACAGGTGGAACCGATCTTTCTCTCTTTTTACAACTGTTGTCCATCTCACGCAATAACGTGGATGTCACACCTACCTACCAAGATACTAACATACATACACCTCATTGAATATCCCTGTTGAGGGTTTTTCAGCATTATTTTTAAAATACAAAAAATAGATAAATCACAGAAATCTGAGAAAAACTATTTGCAATGATATGTCTGAACTTACTATTGCAATCATTTAGAATCATTTGCCATATTACCTTGACAATTAACTCCGCTAAAGTCGTCCGTGCAATCGCAATTGTATTTTGTGATATCTTTTTCGTCGTTACGACAAGCTGCCCCGTTCTTACAAGGCTGGCTATCACATGCGTAAGACCGCACTAGAAAATAACATAAAGTGAGTAAAAGTGAACACTTGCATAGAAGAGGTTTGTCCATAAACAAAGCTACAACCAAGAAAGATGTTTTTCGTCTTGTCACGAGCGTGGGACAAGAGAAAAAATTCTGAGTCCACACGAGGAATCGAACCTTAAACCTTCGAATACGCGCTCCGATGCTCTACCGCTGACCCACAGAGACTCTGTGCATGGTGAGCAAGGCCCATTATGAAGTTCATATATAACACGTGTCCTGTATACGCGCTCCGATGCTCTACCGCTGACCCACAGAGACTCTGTGCATGGTGAGCAAGGCCCATTATGAAGTTCATATATAACACGTGTCCTGTATACGCGCTCCGATGCTCTACCGCTGACCCACAGAGACTCTGTGCATGGTGAGCAAGGCCCATTATGAAGTTCATATATAACACGTGTCCTGTATACGCGCTCCGATGCTCTACCGCTGACCCACAGAGACTCTGTGCATGGTGAGCAAGGCCCATTATGAAGTTCATATATAACACGTGTCCTGTATACGCGCTCCGATGCTCTACCGCTGACCCACAGAGACTCTGTGCATGGTGAGCAAGGCCCATTATGAAGTTCATATATAACACGTGTCCTGTATACGCGCTCCGATGCTCTACCGCTGACCCACAGAGACTCTGTGCATGGTGAGCAAGGCCCATTATGAAGTTCATATATAACACGTGTCCTGTATACGCGCTCCGATGCTCTACCGCTGACCCACAGAGACTCTGTGCATGGTGAGCAAGGCCCATTATGAAGTTCATATAAAACACGTGTTCTGTATACCACTAGGATCAGAAATGTCGATAGCTATAGGTCTGAGGTTCGATTGTTCACGGAAACTCAGAATACTTTTTTTAGTGCCACGCTTGTGATAAGACGAAAGACATCTTCCTATTTCTTTACCGAACTCAAGAACCTACCATTTTTCTTGTTCTTGAAACAACTAATACCTGATAGAAAATCAATCAAATCTCGTGTAAATCCCACCAACCTTCACAGTTCTTTCCACTGAACATTTCTTTACATTCACATGAGTAATGCATAGGATCATCCTTGTCAACCGCACAAAACCCGTTGTTCTGACAAGGATCATCATCACAACCAGTTGGATAAGAATACGAGGCTTCAATACGATACACAAAGTTTGCCATCTCTTTGCCAACTCCACCTGCACAATTGTCGGACTTTCCGTACTTGCTGTAAGTGTTAGCGATGTCTTTACTGGTCCAGCATTGTACGTCGTTCTGTACAGCGAAATATTCGTAGCCTATGTCTCGAGCCAGAGTAGAACAGTACACAACAGTGGTCTTTGGATCAGAGTTACTTGAGAAGCTGGCGTAATTATCAGTCAGTAACTTCTCAGTCTTCCCTTTTTCTATAAAGCAACCTTCAGGGACAGATTTCGGTGAAGTCTCTGAAAACAAAATTGATACAATTGTTAATTGGAATCACACTACTTTTCTAGAACAGATTTGTGAAATTCTTCCTACAAGTGCCATTCCTTTCGTCCTGAGAATGGCTAACAAATTCACTTTTGCCACCAACGATTGCCGCAGCATGATCTTCCGTGATATGTTTGAACGTCCCTGACTTTGAATCCATCTTGATATTCTCCATTCGTAACTTCTGTTCATAACTTTATTTTTTACTCATCCTTTTAGTTTGTAAGTAATCCCAAAAATAGAGGAAAGATTTCAGATTTTTAGCCAAGTCGACTGACTCCATTTTTTTGAGTTCTTTCAAATGACCTCCAAAGTCAGTCATATACTTCCCCTTCGAATGTTACTCACCAAAAGTATACACATGGATTGTAGATTTGCTTCCAATGTCATCCTTACAGTCACTGGCTTTGGTTCCTCCTTTCTGGAAGTATTCTTTTTGAGCGGTTCCACTCGACAAACAAGTCCCATGCTCTCCTAGGGCAAAGTGGCTGTAACCTTTGTCAAATACAAGCTCGCCACATTCATAAATATACTTTTTGATTTTTTCAGGATTGAAGTCTTTCTTGTGATTTGCAAGAATTTCTTTTAAACCAGTTTTCGGTGTCTTGAAACAACCAATCGCAATGAATGGAGAAGCTAGGGAAATAATCAAATGCATCAGTGAATAATAAATTTGAAAATAAAGAAACAAATAGATCGATGAATGAACACATAAGCAAATACTGATCTTTACAATATCAAATCTTCACAGAGGTAAACATTTCCAAAAATATCAAAAAGTAGAAAGATGTTTTTTATTACCTTGGCATTTCTTTCCAAAGAAACCAGATAGGCAGTCACAGTGGTACTCAGATATGTCAGTGTCGTCATTCCTACAGGTTGCCCCATTGAGACAGGGTTTGGAGTCACAGGGAAATATTTGAACTGAAAGGAAAATTTGTTTTTATACAACTGCTCAGGTATCTGTTAGTGTAAAGGGAGTAAGATCCCAAAGAAACTGTATTGCTGCGTCGGAAAGTCGTGATACAAAACAATTTGGATTTATAAAATGGATTAATGATGTAAATTGGTCAACGTAAAGAGTTTCTGAAGCTGACGTTTCGAGTTAGGATGGCGCAAGGGTGAGAGCGCTTGACTCCCACCGCTGTGGCCCGGGTTCGATTCCCGGACCTGGCGTCATAGGTGGGTTGATTTTGTTGTTGATTCTCGTCCTTGTTCCGAGGGTTTTTCTCCGGGTCTTCCAGTTTTCCTCCCTCAGAAAAAACCAACATTCCAAATTCCAATTCGATCTGGAGTCGAGTGTTTTTAGCATGAGGCACCGGCTCGGAAGAGTGCGCAACCACTTCCTACATTACGACTTTAGATAAAAGATATTTATTTATTCATATATCAGCCCTTTGGCAGAGCGAGTGCTCATGTCGTTAGCTTAAGAAAAGCGACCGGTTTTCATTGTCAACTCAGTTGATAAAACTAAACTATCTTTGTTGATATAGGTTTGATTTTCTGTATCTGATTAATGATCTGGCGATAGACATTTTTCATCGCATGTTGTCCGCGCAGGTTGGATCCACTAAACAATCATATGCATTGTCATAATAATCTCCGGTGGAAACTGACATATCACCTTATTAGTATAATTTCAGAGCTGAGCAAAGAGTTTCCAGCAATCTGATTGGTCGAGCGGTTCCTTATAGGACGCTATATAAACCGCTCCACGCGGTTTATATAAAATGTTCAAATAAAATGTCAATAAATGTTACTAAAATGTTATGATTTTAGAAATTTCCCTGTTGCTCAGCTCTGAAATTATACTAAAAAAATTATTCGCCTCAGGTTCGGGAATATTGTCGAATAATCCCCGAGACGAACTCGCCTTCGGCGAATAATTGTTAAATCTTACAATGAACTTTTGTTCGTTTCAGAATCTCCTTGTAACTATTAATGCACTAATCTTGCGCAAAATACGAAGGAATAGAGGATCGATGACAAAATTTGTAAAGCAAGAGTGACATTGAATAGAACGCAACAGCAAAAGACGTGTGCTTAGAAACATGAGTGGAGACAAAAGGAACCTTCTGCGCATGCACTGACCGACGTACCGCTGGGCGGCCCTGATATTAGATCTTTTTTTCCTAAGAGATTTTTGTAACAATACACTGGATCTAGATTCGGTTAGAATTCATGTATTTACAATATAATTTCATATTGTTTACAGGGGCTACTCACGAGGAGGAGGAAAACAGAAACTCATTGAACCTTAGACAAATAAGTTGATCCTTCTCCCTTACCTTCGCAGTTGGCACCCTTAAACCAATCCCCACATTCACATTCATAAACATCAGGTGTCACGGGATCGCTATTACAGTATCCACCATTTTGACATGGGTTACTGTCACAGGAGGTCAGTTGCACTGTTAAAACAATCCCATGATATGAGCGGAACTTAGCATTTTTTAGATTTAACGTAGCTATCGGGCGATATGTACGGTAAAACTTGTGCGATAATGACCCGTGAAGGCGCGTCAGTCTGTGGCAAGGACTTAGCGGGTGACTTCATCTCGGACATTAACCCAAATAAAATGACTGATTGATTAAGCAGACGTGACGTCTTAATGACCTGAAAGATGTTCATCAAGGGACAAGAGAGCTACACAGTTCTAACTTTTAAGCTTCCTTATACATTTGTGACCATTTCACTCCCAAAACAAGAAAGAGAACTCTCCCAAGCAGTAACCTAAAAACAATATCCCTTGGTTGATACCTTTTTATGACCGGCAGGATATCGTAGACTAAATTTTATAAGACTTCCTAACAAGATATTTGTTTTAGATGGTCTCAGTCTATTTTTTTGTACATTAAATGGGCCGCAGGTTCTTCCTTTCGGTTGGCTATACACTGGGTTTACATGCGACATGCGTACTGCATAAAACGATCTCAAACCTTCACAATTTTGGCCAGTAAACCAGGCTGGACACTGGCAGTGATGTAATGAGATGTCGTCCGGATCATTGGTACAGGTAGCGCCATTTTTGCACGGCTGTAGGTCGCAAGGGTATATTTGCTCTAAATAAGTAAACAGATAAAAAGTATCGTCAGTGCTCGTTTGCATTATACCTTACAGGCTCTTCAATTGGTCAATTGAATCATAACCTTTTCTTAGACGCAGGAAAACAAATCTTTTTTGGCCTAAAACCGCACTAGAGACCTGCTTGGACTTTCAACCTATTCCCCGAGATAATCTAACAACTTTTCTTTGTTTTCAGCAAACAGCTGTCATCGGGGCTACACCAATTAACAAGTTGCTTTTAGAAAACTAATGTTCGTTGGCCGAGTACCTTCTTGTCTCTCACTTATAGTATGCGACTGTTTTATATCCATTGCATAACTTACTCTCACAGTTTGTGCCTTCAAACCAATCTTCACAGAAGCATTGGTACCAGGCGGGGTCTGATTTCTTACTCAGGCAATATCCTCTGTAGTTGCATGGCTCTTCATCGCACTTGTTGGTAGTTACTATGGAATAAAAGGAATGGCTGATGTAAGTTGAGCCCAAAGGGGACTATTTCTTGAATACTACTAGCACTTCTACTAACAATTCAGTCTGTGGACTTGACAATGACTGTTTAATAAGTAGTTCAGGCTTTAGTCAGGCCCCTCCAGGTTGTTCTATCTTTTGCTTGCTGCTTCCAGGTACCTTCTGCAATGTTCTTCCGCTTCAGGTTTCTTTTCACAGTGTCCTTGAATTGTAGCCAAGGCCTTTCCTGGTTTATCTTGCCTTGATTAAGCTGGGAGTACAGCAGCTACTTGGGTAATCTCGCGACTCAACCCTCACTACATGACCAAGCCATTTCTAATTCATCTTAGTTAATATGTCAGCCATAGATGAGCGACCTGACTTCTTTAGAATCTCTTCGTTCGGGATTCTTTATTATCAAGGCATGTTCATTATTTTCTTGACATTGTACATCATGTGGGCATGTAGCTTCCCCACATCAGACTGGTAAATGGTCTAAGTCTCTGGACCATAAAGGAGACTTAGACCATTTACCAGTATACGTTAAATTTCCCTAATATCCTTTTCCAAAAAGTTCGCGCCAGATTTCACTCAGATGATCATGTTAGGGAAAAGCTAGACATGTTGCGAAAAAAAAATGTCAAAAAAAACTTGCAAGTGTAAATATTGATTAACTCACTTTCCCAAAACTTCCCAGTGAACCACGGGGGACATTTACATGTGAAGTTTGAGGGATCGCTATCACCGTTTATGCAAGTAGCATGGCTATGGCAAGGATGGCTGTCACATGGAAATATTTTTTCTGAAAGGAAATAACCGTTATCGATGAAAACTTCTTAAACCATTCACATGGTCTTATTTAGCAATGCAAGATAAGTCAATCATTTTGTTTCCGGTAAGGGTGTCATGAATGTAATAGTTTTAGAGCCTTTTTGCTACCAAAATTGTCCATTTCACTTTCGACAAGCCTGACTCAGTTCTTCGTTTGAAGTCACGCGCCAACTCATGACGTCATCTTTCTTCAGGTCATTTTAACTTGCTTTGTATCATCTCTACGGTAGTGACGTCATATCCTTCTCTCCACGTCTACTCATATCATTTCTACGAATTCTCGTAATTTCATTAATGAGTCGTGCTGTCACCTTAGTGGACAGTAAGACAAAACTTCCCAGCGACCTCTGATTAGTGCCAAGGAGAGCTTCCTAAAAATAGTTGTGGTGGGCATGCTGAAAACCTTACTTTTGATCTGTGGCCACTGCAATAACCAATAACTCGGTAAAAGCAGTCTCTGGCATCGAATCTTGACTAAACGATTGTTGTTCACATATGTCTTCAATGATACATTTTTGTATTGTACTTACGTTCACAGTTCTTTCCCTTGTACCATTCTGGGCAAATACAAGTATATTTGCGTCCCCACTTTGAGGATTTACCATTACGCTCGCAAGTGGCTCCATTTTGACAGTGATGATTATCACAAGGAGTCTCGATCTCTATTGATAAATAAACGCTTTGTTGTTGTAGCTCATGGTCATCAACGTATCCAGATTCATGCTTACTTTGTACTATACGGTATTATTATCCAACTACACTTCGTAGAGTACAAATAACGCCATAGACGAGTACAAATATCACGCGGTATTTGTACTCTAGAGTACCGGTTAAACAGGTTTTCTCGCATCGCGCAAGCGAAGAGTTGAATTGTAGTTACGAAAAAAAATGGCGGACAATTTGAATCATATTTCCAACGACGAAGAGTCAGAACGGCTGAAAAATATACATCCAAGTTTATTAGATGAATCCAACGAAGAAAAACAGCTAGACGACCAGAAAATTTCTTCATTTAACGAAGAAAATAGAAACAGCAACACAACAACGCGCCAATTCCGTTCCACTTCGCATACTTCTGTCACGCACTCCCCGTATATAAATATCCGCGAAATTCGCCCGCACTGAAATAACAATTTTGCGTGTTGGATAATAAATAACTTATTAGACGTTTTGTTGTGTGTTATCGCTGAGTATTTTTACTCGTTATTTGTATTTTGACTCGCCCTACGGGCTCGTCAAAGTACGGCACAACTCGTAAAAATAGTCAGGTATACTATACAACAAAACGTCTTATAGGATATATTCATTGGTCATTTCTTCGTGAAATGCGAAAGGGATGAAATTCTAAGGTAAACGTCACTGGGACCCAATAAGAAATGTATGTCATCACACGTAATGAAGACCGCGACAAAAAAGGATGAAAGAGTCATTATTGCTTTTAGAAATGCATTTGATTGGTTGAAAGATGGTGGGGGTTCTCTGAACGAATCACACGGCAAAGGTGAGTAAAAAAATTGTAACACCCGCTTTGTAGTTATTTTTCTTCTTATTTTAAGAAGTTCTTCGCGATTTTCCAGTTCTACTCCTGCTCAACAACACTCCGAATTCAAATCCTCTCTTCGGGATTGAGCTCGTTCATGCATTTCTGGTAATAGTGTTGGTACAGTGCACTTTTCTGTTAACAAGTTCACAAGGTTTCCTACCGTCACAGTTTTTTCCCTTGAATCCTTTCAAGCAGTCACAGTGATAGTGGCCTGGCGGCTTTTCAGTGCAAACTGCGTCATTTTGACATGGACTAGATGGGTAGCATCGATAGTTACCATCTAATGAAAAAATAAAATTCTAATCAGGATCAGTTGAAGGGCTAGATCCCGGAAGTTTTGGCGAGTTCCTGTTAATTGCGTGAACATTTTTAGACTATGTACTATATAGATTTTTTTTTATCGCTTTTTAATTTATTGTTAAAATATAATTTTGTTTTTATCTTGTAATTTAACTATCATATTCCCCGCTCTTTCTTTTGGATATTTTTTAACTTATTGTAAAGCGCATTAGATCATATACTTATAACGAATATGTAAGTATTAAATTTATATTTATATTATATCTTTTATATTTAATTTTGCCAAGGTGAAGGTCAGAGGCTGCCACCTTAATCGCACAATCATACTCCTTAAATGTGGGTAACTCTAGTTTGTGAAAAAGGCAATTTCAAGCTGAAAGAAAGATCTAATATTAGAGAAGGGAGTGTGATTTCTCTTCTCTAGGTTTCACGTTTGTTTGCTTCAAGTTACTTCACACTTCGTTTTTTCCTAACAAGTGCCCATGGAAAAGCAAATATCTACAATAAAAAAAGCTAAATGAAGAACATTCCAAGTTACGGAGGTCATGTGACCTGAAGGCGGGAAACTAAAAAAAAAACAGGGAACCCAAACAACAGCAAGTGATCAACCTTCCAAACAGGGTCGTTTGTCGTTACAATCCTCTGTATCTTGGGGTTTTTTTAAAAAAGTACACTGTGCGTCTGATACTTTAGAAGGTCTTCCATCTTGATCAACAAGAATGCAGTCAACTGTGCGCCTTCGAATGCCTGCACCACATGGAGTAGAGCACTAGAAATAAAAACACCAAAATTTTCACGAGAAAGTGTAGTTTCAACGGCTGAGCTTACCCCAGTTTCTAAATTACGGAGGATGCAATTAAGAGTCCTTCATCTCCTTCAGGAAGAGATGCTAATTAATCACAAGTATTCCTCCCCAAGTGTGGAGGCGCGGTGGCCTCATGGTTAGTGCGCTCGACTCCGGATCGAGTGGTCCGGGTTCGAGCCCCAGCCGGGACATTGTGTTGTGTTCTTAGGCAAGACACTTTACTCTCACAGTGCCTCTCTTCACCCAGGTGTATAAATGGGTATCGGCAATTTAATGCTTGAGGTAACCCTGCGATGGACTAGCATCCCATCCAGGGGGGAGTAGAAATACTCCTAGTCGCTTCATGCTACAGAAACCGGAGTTAAGCACCGGCTTAATGGGCCACTAGGCTCGTAAACAGACTTTTCTTACTCCTCCTCCAGCCTCTTGTCAAGTTTCCCACAAAGATTTCCTTCACCACTTTTTCAGTTCACGTGGCTGAGGAGAGGTGTTGTAAGAGTGAACCCACGAACACAACATAAAAACCTAGCCAGACCTCACCTGATAAAAGAACCCAGGCCTTCCCATCCAGAGTCCAGCCTGTTAGCCATGGTTTCAACCGTTTTGCTATTCGAAAAATCTTAATTAAAATAAATCGTTTAAGTGATCACTTACTGCCGTCCATGCCGATTCAATTTTCCAGTTCGGCTTGCAAATGATCTTGTTGCACTGTCTACTCAGTTTACTGACATGTGGTAGCTTATTTGGATCACACTCAGAGGGAGATATTTCAGAATAGTGGTGACTGCTCGTTTTCTCGTGACATTTCATTTTGCGAGTCTGATAACCAGTGCCACAGGTTTTCGAACATGGCGACCAATCTGTAACGATCCACCTGGGAGAAATGGGCAAGTGAATGATTCAAAATTTCTTAAATCTGGAGACTGAGTTGTCTCGAGGTTTGTTTTTAGAGGCATCTTTTTGAATAATACATTTCGTCCCCATAAAAATTTGAAAAAATTGAGAAATCATTGAAAAAATGAAAATCATCGTATACATTGAGAAAAGTTGCTAATAGTCGTTCATAAACAGGAAAGAAAAAATGTAAAAAAATCAGTTTGGAATGATATTTACTCTGGAGGGCAGGGTTGCTGATTGCATTCCTGATTATCCTCTGGTCGTAGATGCTTATCACAAGCTTTGTCACTAGCGGGTGTTCCATCCTCTTCTAGAACGCAACGAACTTCTCGAGTTTGAACACCTTAAGAGAAATGAAATTCCATGGCCATTGAACGTTAATTTTGCTCTTTGGATGAATTTAACGAGATAAGTTAGTGACTCAAGAATGGTCTCAAGAACGCCGAAGTGTGATCGTTGGTATCCATTTTACCAAAGTAAATGATCAAGATGAAATGTTCCTTATCGTTGTCTCACTTTTAGTCTCATGGAGACCGCCTTAAATGAAAAAAAACCTTGAAAAAGATCATTTGTTGGAGTGGTCTTACACCAACATTTTAAAAGTTAAAAATAACCTGAAAGGGAAACAGGGTAGTTAAGCTTGGTATTAGAAAAGAGTATATTCGTATTGCCAAGAAGTGGAATTAATAGAAAAATATGAGTTTCCCCACAAGGAATAGAACCTCAGACAATCGAATTCCGTGCCCTGATGCTCTCCCACTGAGTTGCAATGAATTCTTTGTTGTTTAGGCTACAGCTTTAGTGCTGGAAAACCTGTGGCGTATTAATCCTCTTCAGCTCACCTCAAGCGCATGTAGCAGAACATTCTGACCAATCACCAACAATCCATTTGTAGCTGAGCCTCGGCTTATGCCAGGAGTTCACGTGATACCAGATGTCATAAACGACACCAAGATTCTCTCCATATTCCGCTATAAACTGAGTTGGAAAAAAAAAGCAAAGCTGAAAGGAGGAACTAGTATAGGTAATCGCAACTGTTCCCGAGACATGCTGGCGTTTTTTAGCCGGATCCGTTCGATCTTACCCAAGTGGATCAAGGCAAGTGTCATCAAAGAACACAGAAGGAGGGAATGCCATGGAGTTACGTCCAATGGTGGCGTGACAAGAGAAATTTCCTTCAACCCTCCTAGAAGGGGATGATGTTGATATGATTCCACGTGGACAGAGGCAGAGGAAGAATTTTCTACTGTATTCATCAAATTATATGTTTCCGAGAGCTAAGGCTTAGCTTTTTTGGTTGTGGCTTTCACCATTTCAATTTTCTCAAAAGTGATTGAGGGATAAAAATCACTTTATTTCTCGCTAATTATTGTTTAACCCTTAACTGTCAAGATCTGATTGTTAATTCTCACCTCTAACTGCTACACGTTTCCTTGTAAAGTAGTCACAGGAATTTAGTAGTAGATCAAAATAACAACTTCTACCTGATAAGTTTAAGTATTTCCTTGCTTTTTTGCTGATATTGTATAGATATTATCGGGAGAAGTAGTACAGGTAAGGAACCATGTGATTGCTTGTTTATAATATAAGGGGCAAAATGTTTTCTTACTGATGTCGCGCAAAACGGGACGCCATTGTTACAAAACAAACAGAAATTCTTTTACCTTGGCAGCCGTTGCTAAGCGATTTTCAGCCAATCATTTTCAAGTAATTTTGCTTGGGCAGTTACAAAAATTAAGAAAAATTGCCCTCTGTCTTGACCAATCACAATTCAGTAATTTTGCCCCTTATATGATAAAAGTAGAAAAGTGATTTGAAATGACCAAATATTTCTTACTCGTCCAAGGGCTTATCTTCTTTTGATAAAGCTAAAAAAGTGTTTTCGGTGCTCTGTTGCACACTGAGAATAAAATGAAATTTTTAAGAAAACGTTCTTCCCATTTCCTCGATACAAACAAGCCGATGAAGCTTTAACTACTCATCGTGTTGTTCATCCTTACCATTATCTTGAGTTTTGGGGTCGTTGGTCCTATTATTTTCAGTTCATCAGCAAAACGTTTATTTTTATTTAGGTAGTGGATGTGAGCTCCAGCATAAGTAATATGGACGTTTTTATCCTTATCTGGGTCTATTAGATAATCACCATTCTTCGTCATGAGACCTGCAGAAGAATATATGCATCAATTTGTCATGAAATGGATATTGCAAGGCGTTCTTAGGAGTTTTAATTACCTTTTCTATCGCATCAGGGTAAAAATGTACCCCTACACTAACATTACGAGCTGAGACTAGATCGCTTAAGTGCTGGGCAGAACCCCTTACTCGCAGAAACGGAGGACTTACCTATTTTGTTGTACGTCGCAGCGACTTCAACAAAACTTGCTGACGTTGTTCCAGGTGGAAGATCATAAATTGAATCTGCGTTCTCTTTTCCTTTAAAGAATTAGTGACTTAATTTATTCATTATCCTTGGTTGCAAGGAGATCTGCAGGAAGATAATGTGGATGAAGTCAATTACATATCAAAAATACTCATTACCAGTTTTGTTCCATTGTGTCTTGTATTGGTCTACAACATGTTTACAAGTGTCCCCTTTGCCACCACACACACCACACCTGTCGATTCTTACATTTGATCCTAAGACCTGATCACAGCCAGCAGCCTGATAAAGGAAAAATAGATGACAGTCACCTTTCAGGAAAAACCAAACCTGGGCAGTCATCTTGAAGTTACAGGAGATAAAAGGAGCTTGGGGAAATGATGGTAATTTAACAGTATACTTTTTTGTGGTGCTTCATTCTACTCTGATTGACAGAATTTTGGATTATCTTGAATAACTCTAGCAAGAAGAGCCCGATTCGATGCACATAAATCTCGTTATCCTTGCAAACGATTTCTTCCGATTACAATTACTTTCGTAGCGTATCCCATTGCCTTTAACATGAAGCGACTAAGGGTATTGTTACTTCTGCTGCATGAAGTGATAGTCTATCACAAAAAGCCCTCTAACATTTCTATTCTTTCGTTAGCGTTCCTTTTGGTTCGCCACCAATTTGATTGAGAACACCACACATTGATCTCAGTGATCAGGGCTCGATCAGAAATTTCGACTCATAGATAACGGTCCACTTACTAAAAGCTACTGCTGATAACGACATAATATAAGCGACTGATAATATATCAAGAAATATTACTAAAAAGCCTTGGGATGCGCCATTTGGTTGAACATCACTTGCACAGTTTTTTTGACTCCTTAAGTCACAGGCAATCATTCACATTGGTAACTCACTCGGCAACTTCCACCAATGCAAACATCAAAGATGGTGGGATCTTTGCTGCATCTGGTACTGTCTAACACTTTTCCGTATGTCGTAACAGTGTATCCCTCTCGGCAAAACAAATCACATGGTCCTAAAGAAGTTAGAAAGGAGTAAATTGCGAAAACATTTCTTTAAAGATAATCAAAAATTCACTGTGTTATCAACGTTGTTCTGGCTTGTCGTGCAGTCACCGAGAGGAAACGCGGAAAGTGACAATTTTTTTTCTAGTTAAAAACCATTTTCCCACAGGTATGTTATTATTATACACTTCACAGAAGTTTGCATGGGTTAAACACCATTGGAAAAAAAAATGCGTAACTGGCCGACTGTACAAAAAAAAAAACGATCGCGGAATAATTATTCTTACGACCGATGTCCTAATTCATCGAGGATACTCTAACAAATTTAAGGGAACCTCACATTTTTGTAAATTACCTCCGTGATAATATGCTGATGAGCCCTCCAGTTTCCTTGCACACTGTTCATCTCGATATGTATCTGTGATACTTCCAGGACAGGGCTGAAATGAATCTCATTCTTCAATTAATGTGTGATTTCTTTGTTAAAGTAAAAACAGGTTTAGAGACTTCAGAAGTTAACTTTCCAAATGTAGTGGTCTGGTCGAGAAGATCACTCAATACAGGAGAATTCAACTATTTTTTAAATCAGTAACGTGGATTACTGGTTCTGTTTCGTGTTATACCATCCTCAAACTGACGATTGAATGAATCCGAGAGGAAAAATTTAACCATATTCAAGAAAAAAATTCTGCCTTGTTTCTCGTCAAAAGAAAACGAATGTGTCATGATGAAGTGAAAGTGCAAAAATCCTAATCTTCTGTCCCCTCTCTTCAATTTTTTTTAGACAATATTTGCCTAATCTCCGGCTCGTCTAAATGTATCTATAAATGATATACTATCAGATCGAAGAGGACAGTGGATACTTACTAAGATTTCACAGATTCTCCAGTGTCCAATAGAATTTCCTTGGCATTCTTTCCCTCCATTTGAAGGTCTTTCCATTCAAGATCCGCAGAAAAAAAAGAAGACAAAACATCACCAAACTTGTACTCACGGACGAACGCACTTACGATCAAAAGCCAGACTTATCTGTACTTTATGCATTTCAATTGCTATTCAGTTTAGATCTTATCAGAAACCAGCCGATCTGTAGAATGCATAAGCGCAATGTAAAGTTGCTCGGTAATGCAATATCTCCACGCATCAGGAATTGGTGGAAACCAAAATCTCAAGGTAAAATGAGATCATTGTGGTAGGAGGGTTCTTACGATTACAAATGCAATCCATAACTTGATTACTCGTTATAATCATCGATGATTCGTTCACTCACGGTGGATTTGTGCATGATCTTGTCCTGTGCTGTACTCCACCGCCACACGTTCTCGTGCATGGTGTAAATTCCGACCAATCGCTCCACCAGCCATCAACATGGGGCCGACCGTTGTCAACGCACACTCCTTTGATACACCACTACGTAACAGAAATACATTACAAGCACTGATTATTAAAGTTCACAAAGCAACCAGTTGGACAATGAGACATCTTTTGACGCTACTCTGATTTAAAGATTTAATGAATGTAACCGAGAGGTTACAATTCATAGACTCTTCTCGGTTTCATTCATTAAATCCTTAAACCAGTGGGGCATCAAACCATGCCTAAGCACAGATTATGTTCTGTAAGTTTTGGAATACACATGAAAACGATGATTTTATTTGAACAGAAAAGCTAACATGAAAAGTTGGACCCCTCCAACAAATGCCACTGGGGACACACTAAAACGTCTCCTAAACCCTTTATACCGTTACATCAGTGTCCATATTCTCCATAATCTTTTCTATACGTTTCCTTTAGTGTTGACGAGGAGAATTCGTTTAACGATCAAATTTTCTTAGCTTGGTGATTATTTCCTTTATTCTCGTGATCTTAATGAATGATTCAACCGTATAGTTGCACGGAGAAATGACCTACTGGTCACTCTCAAGGTTTAAAGTGTTGAAACCAACTTTGCCTCCTAAATTACGAGTTTTGCACTTGAAAAGCTCTTTCAAGAGTTTAGCTTGTAATTCTGTCTGGTCTTGGCATTGAACATGTGCATAATAATGACGACTTACATTTCTGCTTCCACAGGGAGTTCCGTCAAGAGCAGGAGCGGCACGCGTGTCACACCATTTTCCGTCTGGAGTACACCACAGTTTACCACATTCTCCCTGAAAAATGATCAAGCATTACCGTCAAGTGACATCAAAACGCCTCTACAAAATGTTCAAGCAGTAACTTTTTTAAAACAGTTTTATCTAGATATGTGGAAAATACTGAAAAATTAAGCCAATCTACTACATGTAACCTTTTAATTGTTTCCATATATTTGTTGGTTTAATTTAGCATTCAGTGAGTGCATTTTCGGACATCACTTCTTTTTGTGCTTGCAATAAACGAAAAAACAAAACAATAAACAAAAGAAATAGATGGACGAGATAATAGTTAACTAATAAATAAAGATACGAATACATAGTTTTCATTTAGACATGATTTTGTTTGGAACATAATTTGTTTTCTTTACCTTGCTTTCAACTGGTAATTAAAAAAGAAAAACATGAAATTGAATACAAATTAATACCAAATAGACATTTGAATCAGCTACTGGGTGTTAGAATTTTTAAAGTACAAGGATAAACTAAGTCCTTACCGCAAATTGAGAACACTGTCGAAAGCCAAGTCCATATTGTAAGACGCACTGGTCATCGCCATTCATGACTTCGCCGGGAAGTTTTAATACAAATTTATCTTCGTAAAAGTTGCTAAGGTCAATGTTTACCATTATACCGCGTGCTACCCTACTTCTGATTTCTCGTGTGGCATTTGTACCTATCTCTTCATATACCACAGTCCTTTCGCCAGCCTCCGCTTCTATATTCAAACACTTTGACTTACTACTTCTGCGAAAAAATATTTCATGGACAAGTTCAGTAAAAGTCAGATAAATTTGCAAAGCTTTCGGAATCGCTATGGAACATGACCCTCCACGGAACAATAAACAAAATCATCCAAGCCCTTTCATCAAAGCAAAGAAAGAAGTGCTTAGTGTTTCTTTGGTCCAGATAACACGCATATGTTTTACTACCCTGCCTACAATTACACACTTAAAGTCACGGTGTGATGACTTCTCAAGAGTGCAGTGATAGCACACAGTTCGTCTGCAACGTATTTTAATCCAACAATCCTTGTTCAAAAGGAAAAGAAAAGTGAGAAAGCATCATTATATGGAAAGCAACCACGGTGGCAAAGCAAAAATAGTCTTTGTTTTTGTTGAGGTGATATGTGTTAGAGTGACTTCGAGGTCATATGTGTTAAAGTGACTTCAAGAAAACAGGGGTCTTGATAGAAACCACTTTCACCACCCCTCATAAGACCTCTTACTGCTGCTTGTTTCACGAGCCTGCGAGCAAGCTACAGTGCCTTCGAAGATATGCTCATTGCTATTGTCGTTACATTAACCGCGGCTTATTTATTATACACCTAGGATTCCCAGTTTGGAAATCGCCACACAGGTTGGGCCGATATCTACCTGAGAAACTCTTGAATGACTCGCATACTGCAGTTGGACCACGTCTCAGCCTTAGGGCCGCCAGGGAGTACCGCTGACATGATGTAGGTGCTAGAAGGACACTCGTCTGTTACATCATGATCAACCCCCATACTAGAAACAACAATACTTACTCATCAATTGTCATTTTGTTATTGACTGGTTTAAAACAAAGGAGGACAAACCCAAGAGAATGAACTTAAAGGAGGCCTTTCTTGGGAAGTCAGTCTCTGAACTTATGCTCTCTTGCCAAAAACAAAACATGGTACTTACTTGTGCTACACTTATGTGACAACAAACTCGATTGGAATACCAACTTATATGACAGGAAAACATTAGCTTCTTCAACTTCCATCGAGGTAGCTGGCTTTCGAGGTTTTAAAAACATTTAAAAATACTTTGATGATGGCTGATGGCTCTCAACATTTATTCAGTTTTACGGCTACCTTTTAATTTCTTTCCGACAGCTAAAATTTGTCAATTTTTACTCCTAACGGTTAAATGTTTTTGCTCTTTTATGACTAACAGTTAACCCCCGAGAGACCCTAAAACACTGAAGATGAATGCGACAGTTCTACAGTACTATCGTCTCGTCTCTATTCTATATCATTTGAAATTATCAACTCCAAATCGGCTACGGCTCTGTCGGCTATTAGAGGAGCTCTTGTAAGAAAATCCTTCGGTTACTTGAACAACAAAAATAAGCCTCACTTGTGACCAGTTTCATGGGTGATTACCAGAGCCGTTTGTAAGCCCACCATGTTGTTTACGTTTTCTGTTGGTCTGTCGCCTTTGCACATGGTCTTGAACGGAGCCAACCCTGATTTTTTAAGAAAGATTCCCAACAAAACAGTGTTAATACACGCGGTAACAGTGCTAGTTCATCCAAACAAAGGTGAGCAGCAAGGTTGCCGGGCGAAATTCAAAATGACAGCCACCAGAGTCGAATCTTTAAGACAACTTTCAAACGATGTTGTCACTCCCAGGAATCTCAAAATACGGTCAGCGGCAAGTTTTTAATGCTTACTTTCCTATTTTGATGGTAAAATTTGTGTGATTTCTGGAGCAAACGCCTCCTCCACGCGAGCAAATAAATGGAGATCATATAGATCAATCAAGTGCTTCTAGTCACATATGTGTATATTAAGTCTATATTATAAGAAATACCTAAACATAACCTACTATCTATAACAATCATATAGTTCTTACCACCAAGTCCTGATTTCATGCTGAATAATAAAGAAATAATAAATGTTATTTATGGTATTATTATCATTGTACTAAATTAAATACGCCAATTTACCATGAAGGGGCATGAGGAAACGCAAAATTTGAGACAGTAACACAATGCGTAACAGACAAAAATACAGACGGACAGTAGAGCAACAAAAAATGTCCGCACTGAACAATCTAGACTCTGATTTTTACCTGTTTTTTTAAGCTTATTGTTTCCAGCATCGAACGCTGATCGCATGTATGAATCGATTTAAGTACCAATGAATTTAGTGACCTACCGACGTGCTGGTGGCTGGACAGAGAGAGTTGTAAGATATCCACCTTGCTTTGTATAACTCATTTACTTATTCTTACCCGTATACAAGGGAGAACACATCTTCTTTGCCAGTCTGGTGGGATTTGATATATTTAGCAAACTTCGATAACCATGCACCTTTAGATTCTGAGTAGTCTGCACCAAACATCTACGGAAGACAGAGATATAACATTCCAAACGACACTGAAGACAATTTTAGAGCCGATTTTGGATTGATTGACAATTCCTGCGAATCTGGAATATGGTTTTAGTTGCGATATATATATCTTATTAGACGTTTTGTTGTGTAGTATCGCTAAGTATTTTTTACGAGTTGTGCCGTATTTTGACGAGCCCTACAAATAACGAGTAAAAATACTCAGCGATACTACACAACAAAACGTCTAATGAGTTATTTATTTTTCAACACGCCAAACTGTTATTTCAGTGCGGGCGAATTTCACGGATATTTATTTACGGGGAGTGCATGACAGAAGTATGCAAAGTGGAACGGAATTGGCACGTTGTTTTGTTGCTGTTTCTATTTTCTTCATTAAATGACTTGGATCTATATTTGCCAGTCATTCTGACCCTTCGTCGTCGGAAATCTGATTCAAATTGTCCGCCATTTTTTTTTCGTAACTACAATCCAATTCTTCGCTTGCGCGATGCGAAAAAAACCTGTTTAACCGGTACTCTACAATAGACGAGTAGAAATACCGCGTGATATTTGTACTCGTCTGTGGCGTTATTTGTACTCGGCTAAGTGTAGTTGGATAATAACGCTCTTTATTTGTGAAACCTGTTGTTCTTTGGATAAATTGTTTCTCTCATTTGACGGCGTTTTTCCGATTGTTTGTTAATTTCTTTACTTTAAGGTCTGCTGATATAGTTTACCTTCTTGTCGATAACGGCAATTCGCGTAACTTTGTAATAAATACGAATCTCTCCAATGCTTGGGTCCATGAAGAGTCCAGAGATCTAGTAAAAAGAAACACAAATAAAAATTCTCACCATCTTTCGAAGTAGCCCATGGATGTGTTAGCGCATTCTTCTCTCACTTAATTAATTCCCATTAACTTCTTTTTGCATTATATTTATATAAACTAAGAGTAGATTTTAAAATTAATTTACCTAAATTTAAGGCAATTTATGGTTTCCTCCAAAATATATACGTAAATTGATTAGCATTAAAGGTCACAATCATATAAAATTAGATATTCTAGAGGTTTACTTTTAAAGCTTCCAAATGTATTGACTGAAACGACACTATGTGAACGTGCTTTCTCGGTGGCTACTCCGAAATTATGGAACAATCTACAATCTAGGATTTACGTGATGAGAGATATACTTTAATAATACTTTATTATTTCATGTAATATTTATATATAACTAGTTGCCCTATTTTCTAATATGATAGATATTGGAATTTCTTCTATACTTTTGTACAGTTTTTGAAATGCTTTAGTATTTTATGTCATTTCACGAGTTAAGCCGGCCAGCTTGACGGAAGTTTACTTTCTCTCTATTTCCCGGAAAGTAGATGGGTAAAGAGTTGAATTAAAATTCTGGATTCAACCAGCCGATAACAAGTAAAACATTCAAACAGAAAGGCAGTAAAGAACATAAACTAAAACTAAGAAGTTCATTCTTTGTGAGGTCTATGAGTTCTCAATAATGATTTGAGTTCGAACCCTTCCTCTTTCGTTTTCTACAACTTCCAGATGTGTAGGATGGTATTGATCAATGTTTGAGGACTTAAACTTAGACAGTTTAGACTTAAACTTTTTGATATTTCATAAAACACCTACTGTATTTCCTAATAAAAGGAGAAACGCCTTTGGGTCGTGCATTTCATCCTCCAGTGTTGCCGCCGAACTCGCCTCGAGCATTAAAGCTACCTCCATGGTTTTCATGGTCAGATTTCCTTTTTCTTCTTCCTCCAGTCCGTCTGTTATCTCCCTTCTTTGTTTAAACTCTGTATAGATGAGGTTAAGTATGAAAACTTGTTTCGTTAGTAATGGCTAACCTCCCTTTCACCTCCCAACTACCTTTGAAGAAAAGCGGTTTAAAGTAGATCTTTAGAAAGGAGTCTGTTGCCTGTTTCTCTGAATTCCCGTTGATTACCGGTCTAGACAAGCCGATTTTCAAGCAGAGTTTCTTTGGTCTTGTTTACAGAATCGAAATATCGATAGCTTTGACATAAAAACAATAAAAATACTGGCAAATGAAACAGTCAGTACTAGCTCTTGAGATAAAACTGGCACTATTATTTCTGGAATCAAGATTTCGTGTAAAATAATAGGTTTTCGTCATTTGGCTTCTTACACAATTTAAATGAATGTTATCTGATAACATGCAGTATAGTACCTTTTTTCATATCAGTCGGATCAAATTCACCTGGAAGAGACCTCTTGTAAATCAAATGAGGTGTCTTTACTTCACTTGACACTGCCCGCTTTGCAAGATGGGTCGGTAACGGGTGAATGAATAAGGTATCGCTGGCTAGTTTCAGCATACCAGTCTAAAATAAAAATCAAATTCAATTTAAAAATAGGCTCCAAACGCAGCTCCACGAAAAATATAAAACATGAGATTTTCTGTACTCAAAAAGCCCCACTGAGTCGACTTTTTTAGATTCCAGATAACAGTATTTTAGACAAATGTCTTCCAATATTATCATCATTTTCACTGCGTTCTCCCATAATTATCATATTTCATTCATGCGTATGGTATAATATATCTAATGATAGAAATGGCTCCTTGGTTCTGCCAGGGTTTAACTGATTAATTAACTGAGCTCCATCTACACTTAGATAACATTTGAAATCCGAGCGGTTTAACTTGTTATTTGTTATTTTGTCGCCGACTATCGTGCTTATCCAATACACTTCTGTTTCGTTCTGTTTCGAAAACTGAGGCAAACAATTTACACAAGTTTACCAGTCCTCCATTGTCACTAACAGCCACCATTGAGTGGGGATCGGAGATCACATGACCAAGGTAATAATTGTTTGGCGGTGGGGGAGAGTATGATATTGTGCCATCGGCGTATATTGTCTCCGAAACGAGGTCAGGAGACACCAGCTTTTTGTTCAATGTTAAGTTCAAGTGCAATTCCCGCCCAAATGCAGTGACTTTGTAAAATTTGTTTTCACGTAATCCTTCTGCCCGCTGTTGACGCCGTTCGGAACCTGGGACCATTTCCCCAAGTTGATAGGTAGTGGTTATGTCGTACTCGGGAACTATAGTGAAAGAGAAATATAATGGATTGCTTGGGTTGAACAGCGGGAAGTATGAAACCACCTGTTCCCTGCTCTAAAAAAGGGAGCAGTCATGAGAACTTTTTATTACACGACTCGGGCAGTCAGAGGGCCAATAACTAAAATCAACCAATAAAAATGCTCTATTGCCGGTCAATATTCTCTCAGTATTGGACCGGGCACTGTCCCGAATGGTCCCGAATGATACCGCACTTGTGTCCCTTTGAACTTCAGTCGTATAATAAATATCTTATTAACCAAGCTTGCTCGGGACTGTACTGGAAGAATATCGGTCTTCGGTCTTTTTTGTACGGACCCAGCTGCGCTCGGTCCGTACTGTCAAGACCTCGGGCCGATATTCTCCCAGTACGGCCCTCGCGCTTGGTTAATAAGATATATGAATAACATGGAAGATGCTACAACTAATAATAAATAATTCACGGAAAAAAGCATGATATAGTATTCAGTTTATTTTATAAACATCCGGGATGTTTATAGAATAACTACCAAGCACCCTGATTGGTCAAAAACCTATCCTATCTCGCACCACTAAAACCCATAATAAACAGACGTTTTATTTATAAAAGTAATAGACCCTACTTTGTATTAGCTTATCGGCCTTATAACCTATTTTGGATGCCGGGAGAACTCTCGAAAAGTTTGTAAATCACTCACCTTCAGTTAATGAACTTTTCTCATATTCCACGTAGTTTATTATGGCGGAAAACCGATGAAAAGTGTGGTATATTGCTTAACTTACCTTCTGAATGATTATCAACACCGAAAAAGTATTTCAGATCATTTTCTGTCATATGATGGTGAAGCGTCTACAATAAGAACAGTCATTTTAAAAATAATCATAAAAAATTTATGCTCAAAACTATGACAAGAAACTGAGGCCCTATATCACCCTCTTGACACCTTCAACATGCCTTTGAGGTCAATGATAAAACTAATCATTCTTCGACTTACATTTTGGTGCGTTGTTGGTGCAAAAGCTGTTGATCAAAAATGAATCAAAATTGATTTTTCAAATAGAAAGTTCGTCGCGTAAACAGTGAGATTTATGATTATCAGTACTTCAATGATGTCTTACCTCCAGAGAGAAATAAATTCACGAGAGCTGAAAACGCCAATAGAGGATGACACCAACCCATCCTAAAACAATGATGGTATTGATGAGAAGAGCACGAAAGAAAAAACTGTTGTTTAACTTAAAAGGAGATTCCCGTGGACTAAAATGAACGAAGCCAGGAAGATAAAGAAGGCATGGAAGTAAACACAACTCTCAGGGCATAGGCAGGATTTTTTTAAAAGAAGGCTCTGCATTAAAAGTGTTTATCATCATAAGATATTACTTTATTATATGAAGGGATGGTAGAGGTCTCCTATGCATCCGTGGACCTTCTTGTTTAGGTCCGAAAATTCTAGCCTGATACGCTCCTGGTAAGTAGAGACGAAAGAGTGAGCGAGTCAGGGAAATCAACGGGGGTTTTCAGAGCCACGCTACTCCTCACAAACTGACTGCCTGGAAAGAGTGAGATAGTTTTTCGCTCTTTCCTATGAACAAGTCATTGGATTCAAGAGTTCAAGAAGAATTTCGCGACTATGGTGTGCCACGATAACAATTCGTGAGTGTTCTGCTGTTTGAAACTAAGGTGAAGCAATAAGCCATACGCACCTTTTGCGGCTAATAATCCCTTAAACGTTTGTTTTTTCAAGATGTTTTCTTGCGGCGCATTTGCAGCTCCAGTGTTTGATGACTATTAAATATACATTTTCTATTTACACTCTTAAACGTCATAATGAATTCATAATATAATCACGATAACAATTAAAACAATTGCATAAGAAACAATGGAAGGACAAGAGGTAACATAACACTGTTAACATAGTGAAAGGTTTCTTAAAATAACAAATCAGATATATAATGAAAAAGACTCACAAGTGTCATCTTAAATCATTCTGAAACTGAAGTAAGCGATAGCGATCTTTCCTGACGACTCGAAGAATTCTGTCTAATTAAGCTACAGGTTGCCTAATTACAGTTGAATGCTTTCTAATGACGAATAATGTCACATTGAAGTGAATATTGTCTTATAACGGAAATGTTGCCTAGTTACGTATAATGCGTTCTGTAAAGTGAAATACTGAGGAGCATGACATGTCTAGACTGCTAGCTGATTTGAAAAAAAAATATTTTCATTATCTCATAGAATGAAAGAAATATCGGGATTCCTCGTGTTTTTACAAGAACTTATCATTACTCGGCGGAGTCGAGATACTAAAATCTCTATTTGCCACACGTGATCTTAGTTGTCATGGTTACTGTCTAAGCAAGTTGTCAGCAAGTTGAGGTAAAGAGCAGCTTTTTCTGAAAAACTTCCCTGATGTTGATTTTAACTTGTTTGTTAACTGAAAAAATTATGGTTCTCTTCGTGGTAGAGAGTACTTCGCGTTTGCATTTCGGAACCTGCAGCAAATTCTCGTGGACTTTGATAAAAGGCTGGTGTTAAAAGTATTCAGCGCTTTATTCTTTTTTGAATGATGTCGATTGATTTGAATCTATGATCTATGTCATAAAAGGACGCATCAAGATCGCTTTGGGATAACTGTTGTAACACCTCGCTTGATTCAGAAATTATAGTTGCATTGATTAGGAGATGGCGCCTTGTGCTCAGTGTATTTTATAGGAGGAGATAAACTCGTTTTGCGCGCTAATTTCTCAGTATCATTTTTGGAATAGAATAACTCCGACAAAAAATGCATAAACGTGCAACAGTTTGCACGAAACTTGCCTCTCGATTAATAAACAGAGACATGCAACAATTTGCATGCTCTCGATCTTTTCTTCAAATTGTTTTTTTATGAAAAAACTTCCGATATAACACCAGTGTGAGAAAATATTGGCCATCACAGATCTGTTATCAACAACATTCTCTTAGAAGAATATTTAAAATGCGTGAAACGTTTTTTCACTTAAAATTCATCTTCAAGGGAAAATGCTATGTGTCTTTCAAGATTCTGAATGAAAGCGGTTTCGAAACCTGACAATTAATTTTTCTTTCGCTAGCTGGACCTATTGTTGGTTTATTAGGCTATCCAATTTTACGGTGCTTTCCGTAAGTTCTGGCCACGTAGAGTACGTTTCGCTAAATGAAGGGAAGGAAAGGATTTTCATAGCTGTATTCAATATTGAGACATTTTGAAGAAATATCTCTGGAAAGAACCAAAACGAAATGAGTTGCCTGAACCATCTCTTAGTTTAAGCAAGCGAAATATGTATTATTTACACAGATTCCGAGAAAGATATATTTAAAGAGTTCTACAGAGCCATAGCACCTTTCACCTGTGAGTTCTTATTTGATCTGGTAAAGCCAGAAACGATTCAACAATTTCTTACCTTAATCCTTGTAAATGCACTTGATCTTTCCCATCAAGAAAACAGGACATTTGAAAGGAATCTGTTCTCGCGAAAACAAGGTAGCAATATATTTACTTTCTTTTAACTTAAACAACAAACACTGGAGGATGAAAATAATTGCATTCAAGATTATTTGTCTGGGGAAAAGAGGATTTACTGTTTAGTTAGTGTGTTTGTTTGAAGACATAAAGCTGTGTCAGTAATAACGTGATCTAAAATAAACACGGGCCCAATGTTGCAGGCCCAGAGACAAACAGCAATAAATCTTCTCAACTGTAAAATTTTACACATTTCTCGAGAAGTAGGTGGGCTAACGAAGCGAGATGTTATCATACATAAATCGATCGGCTATAACTGGATTTTCTAGTAAATGTGCCTGCTCCAGATGCTGTGAATTTCTCACATCATCCCGAGATTGCCGAATGGCTCAGTATAGCGAACCTTCCTATTTACGAGTATTGTCACTCAAACCACTGGATAAGTAAATATGTCGAGTTTAAATTCAACGCAGTTTTTATATCTGCAAAGAGTTAAAAAAAAATCATTTGAAAGCTTGGGAAAAGCAGAGATTTGTAATCATCGACGTGATGGCCTCGTGGTTAACTTTTTTTTTATCCTCGCTCAACCCTTTTTCGAATCGAAGTATAAACTGAAAGGGGAATGTTTTCTTTCAGATAAGATGCCTGTGATGTTTTTCTGTCTATCCATCCTTCGATGCTTCATGTACAGAAAAAAAACTAGTCAAGGCTGCGTTTAACAACTAAATTGCTAGATAAATATCAATAAAATACAACAGTCCTTCTTTTTTATGGTTAAAAGAAATTTGTATTTCGTTGCTTGAGGGTTAGAGAGAGGGCAGAATCAGAAGGGAAAAAATGCTCTGTACCAGGGAAGGAGAAAAACTTGAAGAAAACAATGCGTCGGCAATAACAGTCATCAGAATGGAAAATAAAATCGTGTTGAATAACAAAAACCCGGATAGCATTTGAAGAGGGCGTTCGCAGCGTTTCGAATGTAAATTGACTACATCGAACGGCGAACTCTCGAAGGCAAACAATTGGTGATAATTAGAAGGCGAGACAGACAACCCTTATTTGCTCATACAAATAAGAATGTATTGTTTTGGCAAGATTAACTTCTTTAGCTTGTAAGTCCGACAGTTTAGTTTTCTCTGGTTCACAAGCGACAAACATAGGAACAAAGTTTAAAGAAAATGCTAACCCAGAGAACTAAGCTTTTCAGGAAAGGCAGAGAAAACCTCCCTATTTTAGTTACAGTATCTTTATTACTTGTCTGTCATTATTCCCTTAAATACAGAGTTATTAATATCTTAGCCCGCGAAGCAGATGCTGAGGTATTGTCTGGCGAAGTTTAGAAGAAGGAAAATTTAAAGTACTAATAGCAAATTCATCAGATATTCTCGGTTGCGCACATATTTTGAGTGTGGAAATCAATCTCCAAACCTTGCAACATCACTTCACCTTGCTGATACGCTGAAAGGTTTTGCCTACAAATTAAAACTTTGGCACTGTTCTCTTGAAAAGACACTATAGGAAAACTAGTTGCTTCAAAAGGGTAGTTTCCCGAGTGTCAGAAACGACAGTGGCAGCGCGTAATGAAGGACATCTTTTTCATGATTCGCCTTTGCATTTACCCAAAGTGACTGACATCATTTAACACATCTTCATCTTCTACTTCATAGTACTGCAGCCCCAGGCTCCGCAGGTTAAAAATAGACGGAAGCAGCATCATTCCAAAGGGCGATAATGTTGAAGGATCCCAAGCAGTTAGACCTGATATTCATAAGAACGAATAACATTCGATATCAGTAAAACAAAAATAAAAACTAATCTCTTAGTTTTAAAGTCTAATTTATGAGTTGTAGGTAAGTGACAAGGATGGGACTAACAGTGAGTGCAATGGACTCCGGATCGAGAGGTTCTGGCCAGTACGACGTGTTGTATTCTAGGGTAAAACTCTTTACTTCCACAGTGTCTTTCTCCACACTTATATATATATATATATTTATTAAAAACTAGATCATTGGATAATGCAATTCAAGACTTTTTATTGGCTTAGCCATTATGGTATATCAGCCAATATACCATAATCTACAAATATGGCAAGCGTACGTGTCAGCTTAAAATTAAAAGGGAGCTAAAGATTTAATAAAATTTAATAATTTAATTTAACGTTTTTAATAAAACAATTATTCCACTCGCGCTTGTTGGATATGAGATGATTATAGCCAACTCGGCGCTACGCGCCTCGTTGGCTATCTATCATCTCATATCCAACGCGCGCTCGTGGAATAATTGTTAAATATCCCAGCGACACAGTGTACATTTTCCGTACTTTTATCCACACATTTGCTGTGTTACTGACGAGGAGACTTTGTTCAACAATCAAGAGTTTCTTTTGGTGCTGATTATTTCCTTTATTCTCATGTCCTCTTTGTTCCATTCAATACTGGTCCTGTAAGGAGAAATTAAATGTTAGTCATGCTTAGGGTTTTACTCTTAAATCCCTGAGAGGGGTTAAGTTCTCCTTACGGCATCACCGCTGAATCACTCATTAAGCTCTTGATTGTTAAACAAATTCTCCTCGTCAGTTCCATAGGAAATATAAAAAAAAAGCTGTGTGGAGAATA